CTAATCAAACCAAAAATCGATTGTAACATTTTGTGAAAAAGGGTCGCTTTCCAAGGACTTTTTTTTAAACGAAAATAATGGATTTCGATATCTTTAGTTTGTTCATTATTTACATCATTTTTTGTGAATATTATCGAAGCTAATTGCAAACGTTGGCGTGTGAAATTAAAAAGTTATTAAAGAATCACATTTTCTTAGTCAGTCAAAGTTAAATGTTGATTTCAATCGCTCATTCACAACTACTATTCATTTATTAATCAAATATTATTTTATTCTAAAAATTACTAATAATTTGATCATACCCAAAAATTCTATATATATTTGATGATGATTGAAAATATTAGGTCTATTAAAATTATATTTCTATTTTCACATCTAAGAGAATAGGATTTTGCAAAATTACTTGCCCATAAACCTTTTACTAGATTTTACAAGATACGTATTGCTTAATTACTCCTTATGCATTTCACGTATAATACTGTATTAAATAATGTATAAGTATTTCTAATATTTTCTCTCTCAATCGTTTTCATATTAAGTTACGAATTAACACCATTGCTCCTAATCTAGCAAAGAACGAGCAAGGACAAATAGAAAAACAATTTACTTTCAAAGAACTAAAGAATCGTTAGACAATACTCAACCAGATATATATATATATATATATATATATATATAGTGTATCAAGCTTGAAAAAGGTATACCATGAATTACAAAGATGTATACGAATACAAAATCTTTGATGACATACTCATTTAAGCTCGTGAAGAATGAGCCAATTAAAATATCGAGTTTAGTCATAACGAATTTCTCTTTTGTGAAAATATTGATTGAAATCTAACTTTGACAAAATTTTGGACAAGTACGGATAATTTCGATGCTCTTATTTTCAATTCGTCAAGGTTCGGATAAGGAGTTCGTGGCTCTATATATAGCTCATGTTTGAGCCACATTCTCATTATTCTATTCATTTTTAACTACAAATTTTTTAATAAAATAATATTTTCAATCACATCAATAATTTTTTCTTCTTTTTCAATCACATATTCAACATCACATCACTAAAAAAAATATTCTTTCTATTTTAATGTGCATTAAACAGGGGCATATCCACACTTGTCCTTTTCCTAAAATGATGCCATTTTCCATTTCCTCGTGAGTATAATCTTTGTCCTGTTCCAGAAGCTTGAAAACGACATCGTAAAGCAAACGCGGAGGACACACGGGGTTTGTTAAGAAACGGTGCCCATGTCCATCCCTTAAAAGGCGTAATATAATTTTGTAGAGACCTTGGGGTTTATCATGCGCCGGACATTCGTTTTTGGCGTTTATCCGGCATTTGAGAAATTCAAGGAGTCAGTGTCAGGAACACTTAAATTAGAAAACGTCATAGCTGACGTGGGATCCTGTTGCCTTACGGCTCGGTATAGCATGAACCACTCATTTGGTTTTTCTTAAATATTTTCTTGATCACAAAAATAAATACCTTATTAAGCCCCCGTTTGGCATCCATTTTATTCCCATCTTTGAATAGTAATTTGCCTTTTGTGTGGGCTCCATGTACATTTCCCTGATAATTTCATCTGACAACAGCAGGTAAAAAATGCCAAATTTGACCCGTATGCAGTATAAATTATCTTGCATTTCACAAATGCCCTTCAAATTGGTTCCTGTAACAAACGTGTACACAATTTGAAATGAGGACAAAAATGAGAAAAAGTGAGGCAGTGGTAATATTTTATTACATGGGCAATCTGACACAAAATAATTAGCTTGGTTGCGTGTCCAATTGTTTCCCTGTTGCAAAATAAGTTTTGGTTAAAAATGAGAAAAAAATGAGATTCAAACAGGGCTAAAAGTTTCATACATTAAACTCGACAATTGACATAAGTGTGATGGTATTACAAAAGAAAATAGGCCAACAACTTCGCAATAGGTGGACACGAGTGCAAAAATCTTCGAACGTTGGAGTCGAGGCAATAGGGTCTAACTTTCACCCAGACCGAATTGATTTTGAATAATATAACCAATTTTTTAAGCTCACTCGTGTAAAGCCAATTAAAATATCGAGTTTAGTTATAACGAATTTCGCTTTTGTGAAAATATTGATTGAAATCTAACTTTGACAAAAGTTTGGACAAGTACGGATAATTACGATGCTTTTATTGTCAATTCGTCAAGGTTTGGATAAGGAGTTCGTGGCTTTATATATAGCTCATGTTTGAGCCACATTGTCATTATTCTATTTATTTTTAACCACACATTTTTTAATAAACTAATATTTTTTATCATATCAATAATTTTTTCTTCTTTTTCAATCACATATTCAGCGTCACATCACAAAAAAAATAATATTATTTCTATTTTAATGTGGGGCATATCCACACTTGTCCTTTTCCTAAAATGATACCATTTCCTTGTAAGTATAATCTTTGTCCTGTTCCAGAAGCTTGAAAACGACATCGTAAAGCAAACGCGGAGGACACACGGGGTTTGCTAAGAAACGGTGCCCATGCCCATCCCTTAAAAGGCGTAATATAATTTTGTAGAGACCTTGGGGTTTATCATGCGCCGGACATTCGTTTTTGGCGTTTATCCGGCTTTGAGAAATTCAAGGAGTCAGGTGTCAGGACCACTTAAATTAGAAAACGTCATAGCTGACGTGGGATCCTGTTGCCTTACGGCTCGGTTTAGCATGAACCGCTCATTTGGTTTTTCTTAAATATTTTCTTGATCACAAAAATAAATCTCTTATTAAGTTTTATACATTAAACTCGACAATTGAAATAAGTGTGATGGTATTACAAAAGAAAATAGGCCAACAACTTCGCAATAGGTGGACACGAGTGCAAAAATCTTCGAACGTTGGAGTCGAGGCAACAGGGTCTAACTTTCACCCTGTCCGAATTGATTTTGAATAATATAACCAATTTTTTAAGCTCACTCGTGTACAATAATTATTTCTTCGCTGAATTTATAAAATTAATAATAAAGTTTTTATATATTGTATCTAATTGCACCAAACCTTAGCATTATTGTTTGGATGTTTCTAGAGCATCTAGTTAATTATATAGATTAATTATTTTTCTTTAATTTAAAAATACTTACTAATTAATAATACTAGTTTTATGTTAGATTTTGATTGAGATCGATTGTTAGTATTAATTAATTATTAGCATGGATAGATTATAAGACAGGAATCGTAATTTTTAATTTACTAACTCCTACAAATACAATTTATTTAATTCAATTAATATGAATTTAAGTATTTCTTCGTATTTTATTTTTTTAAGAATAATAAAATTGATAAAAAAAAATTAAGTAACGATCAACAATTAATTTTAAATATACATTTTATGCGATTCATGACTTCTATCAAAGAGTAATTCTATTTATCCTCACTGGAGTTGAGCCACAGTTTATGTGGCAATTACAGACACATTAAATGATAGATTCATTTACATACAAAGTCACATGACTCATTTAATTGAGTGTCATTTAGTGTCATGCAATTGCCATGTAGACTGATGTTCAACCTCAGTGGGGATGAATAACATTATTCTCTATCAAATTTTCGACCATATATTTCATCAACTTTGACCAAAATTGATTTTTAACACCACACATTGATTGTCTTGTTACATGGCATAATTCGATTGAGCTTGAATTCCACTTACGCCAATACATCCTTCAAATGAGGGTCATTAAATTACACCTATATTGATGGGTTAATGACCGACGTTTCGATTAATTATCTATTTTCTACCATGTTATCTTGCTAGTTACATTATCAATCTGATATTCACACTATCATGACCTCAAATTAATTCAAGATTTAATCCTAACTGGAAGTCAAAATTAGGATACATTCCTCAATTTGACCTAAAATTTGCAGTGGCGTGAGCTAAGCGAATTTCATTTTCAAAGTACTTGGCAGTAATACGGACGCGGGTCCCACTTGAACAAAATTCGCTTCGTCCCACTGATTTTCCTTAATCACATCAAACACAGCAGCACCTAGAAATATCGGTTCCTATATTGACTCGTTTGATTTTACAACTCAGAATTGAATGGATTATTTTGATATCCTTTATAAATACTGTAAAAATAATATTTGATACCAATTTATGAGAAGGATTTGATGAGTTTCAAACGAACTAAAAAAAATAAAATTTAAGAGAAAAAAATTGTATTCTCAAAACTCAACTTCTATGATTCAATTTTTCTGTGATGATGAAATACTACAAATGAGCAATCTTTTGTATTACATTTGATACATAAAAATTAATTGTTAATACATAAATTTAAACGCCCATTAAAATTCTTAGATACATTAATAAAAATAAAATCATCTATAATAACTCTAGATTCATGTAGATCAAGATTCGTCGAACCAAGTTTCATTGAATTTAGATTAACGTGAATGTTAATTAATTGAGAATTAATAATACGAAATTCATATATGACGGTGATTTTGTAGTATTTATTAAATATTGAAAAATGAAAAGTAAGGTATTATTAAAATAATTGAATTATAGTAGAGTTAAAATCGTTCAAAAAACGATTCTGACTTGATGTAATATTAATATATTATGGATTTACTGCATCTTTTAATGGTTGAATTAGTTATTTGTACAAATTCGTTTACACTTTGATTGACACATGATGATATGAAAGTGTCATAATAGTTGGATTAAATGTGTGAAATGTGAAAGATGGTGTGAGATCGTGCTTAGTATAAATTCGATGAGCCATGTAGCAAGATTATTAAAGGTTTATCCATCCTATTGACAGAGAAAATGAAAATTGGTTACCGGCTATTGGCAGTAACCGCCGTTACCGCCGCCTATAAATTTCTGATTCCAGCGTTTCGTCTTCAGTAGATCTCTTTCAATTCACAGCTCTCTTTCTCTATCTTTATCTCTTATCCTAACTTTTCTCTCTCTCTCTATATACATCTTGCTATATTATCTTAACAAATTTCTGAGTTTTAATATTGCATGGCAATAAGTTTTTTGAATGGAGATGTATCAGACTTGTGCCTAGGAAAGCCAGTGATTAGGAGGATTCCGGCGGTCGCCAAGGTCTCCGACGCGGTGACGGCGTTGAAGAGATCTGGAGAGACTCATATCAGCGTTTGGACGTGTGACAATAAAACCGACGAGTCTTGTGAATGCGTAGGCAAAATTTGCATGACAGATGTAATTTGCTTCCTCTGCAAAGAAGAAAATTTGGCCAATCCTTTGAAGGCTTTTGAGGCTCCAATTTCTGAGATTTTACCAAAAGCTCCTTCAATTGTCAGGCATTTGGAACCCAATTCTAGGTCCGTTTTGTGTTTTTCTTTCATCATTTTTGCCTTGGATTTGCGATTAAATTCTGTTTATTACGACATGGAAAAGATGGAGATGAATTGCGTGATCAAATTAAATATTATTTCTGTAGATGTCGAGGGAAAGGGGAAATTGATGTCAAATTGGAGAGTTAAATCCACAAATGGTCACCCAACTTTATGCTCAATGTCACATTGATCACCTATGTCAGCCAATTTGATTACGTTAAATAAAGTTATCGGATTAAAATTGTAAACTAGCTGTCATTATTGACTTTTATTAGACGATTGAGACCCCCCAATAACGACTATATTTTCAATTTTAATTCAATTTTGAGCTGTACCAAACAAGCTCTACATATAACCCCCAAAACTTTTCTTTCTTTTCCAAAAATACATTTTCCAAAAAATTACTGTTCCTCTCATTATAATGTGGAATAACGGGTCCAATCCGATGCTTACATTTCTGAATTCAATTTGAAGCCGATTTGTTGTGCTTTTCCATCAACCGTATTGAACGGAAACATAATTGAAGCATGTGATTTATTGTTATTCATAATTTTATTTAACAAAAATTGAACGAATTCTGAGAATTCTTCTGCTTTGAAGTTGTAATCTGAGCTTGTGGCTAATGGCTATGGATTTATCGTATTTTCTTTTTTCTGTTCTAAGTTGAACATTTGTTGTATCCTGTATTATGAACATCGTATGTTCTTACTGTATGAATTATTCAGCTTATTGGAGGCAATAGATTGCATTCTTGAAGGCACCCAAAACCTGGTGATACCAATACAAAACCACAGAAGCACATTTTCAAGAAAAAAGTTTCCCAACAAATCAGCATCTTTCGACTCCAAGCACTGTAACGGTCGCGAATATTGCTGGTTAACCCAAGAAGACATTGTTCGTTTCCTTCTCAACTCCATCGGAGTCTTCTCCCCGATCCCTGGCATGGCAATTGAATCACTCCACCTAATTGAACACGACATCATGACTGTTCACTACCTCGATCCTGCATCGTCTGCACTGGACTATATTTCTCGCTCACTCGTTGAGCAAACGTCAATCGCAATTATTGACGAAGATAACAGATTGATAGGAGAAATCTCACCAGTGACTCTTGCCTGCTGTGATGAATTAGTCGCAGCAGCAATTTCGACTCTTTTAGCTGGTGATCTAATGGCGTATATTGATTGTGGTGGTCCACCGGAGTACTTGATCGAGTTGGTAAGAATGAGGTTGGAAGAGAGAAATTTTGGGACACTGTTGGAACTGATGGAGGAACTCTCTAATTCTTCGACAGCATCATCATCTTCTAATTGTTCCTCTGATGATGAGTTGGGTTCAAGTTTCCATGGTAGCTCGGGACGGAATTCTCTGGGGAGGAGTTCAGAGGCAATCATATGCTATCCGTGGAGTTCTCTGGTAGCTGTAATGATCCAAGCACTTGCTCATCGCGTGAGCTGCGTTTGGGTTTTGGAAGAGGACCATACTTTGGTCGGAACTGTAACATTTGCCGGAATGTTGAAAGTTTTCAGGAGCATTGCAGGTGTAAGCCAGAAAAGAGAAAATTCATCTAAGCAATAAAAAATCATGAGTATTGAACCATACATGGTGATTGCTCGAGTCATATTGATACTAAGCTTTTTAAATAATAAGATTGAATTCATGTCCTAATCTCAATTCGTGATCTTCTGAACTTGGTTGAAATTATCGGTAACTGGCTCTTTAGAATACTCTTGGTCTTGCTGAATTAGACAATTCTGGACACGAATTACAAAGAAATAGAAGTTACATTTGTGTACCAAGTATACAACCAGTACGAAATCCTAATTACTTCCTAAAATGACATGAACCCTCAAAATTTCAAGATTGTTGTCACAAGCTTGGTTCAAAATTTCAAATCAATTGTGTGCTTTGAGATCAATCCTGCATAATATTTATCCTTGAGTTCAGGCAAAACATTGTCGTACTTGCGCACAAACTTATCAAGAAATTGCTCCTCCGTTCTGACCAAAATAGACATCAAAGTATATTCCTTCACCAAACCCTTATCTACCAACACTTTAACCACTCGACACCTCGGGACAATCCTCTTCTCAAAGTTATAAAATAGAGCAACAGGCCATTGCACAAGAATGGCAGGCGACAACCCCATCTTGTTTACAAAAAAGTCCATTCCCCGAGCAATTTTCTCTTCAGACAACCTCATACACAAAGGATGCGATCTAAACGCCAATCGAATCTCAGAATCCGACAAACCAAACTTCCTATAAACTTTCGCTTTATTCTCCCATCCTTCTTTGTTACTTCCGCATAGAACATGAACTGCTTGGACAAACGTTGTCCTCAAAGGGTTGAATCCCAAATTCATCACATCGTTTATCCTCCCTTTCAACTTCATGCAATTAACTAGCACTAAAGAAGGATGGTGAAGCATAACGAGTAAGATCGATGACTGAGGTACGCCCATTCGTCTCAACACGTCTACATTAGAAGCCATCTTTTCCACATTAGTACCAAGTATTCTAGCACTATTCCTCATAATCCCAACAATGTCTTTGTTGGCAAGAGGTATATTTTTTAGAAAATTGTAACAAGGGATTAGCTGCTTCTCTAGGCTTCTTTGCAATAAAAAAGGGTTCTTCACAATAATGTTCTGAAAGTGATCACCTGAAACACCAATGGAGCTCAAGAACTCGAGTTTCGGCAGGAGATTCTGTGGATCCTAAACTTTTTTGAATCCTACGTGCTTAGAAATTTTGGTCATTTGGGCATCGCTCAATCCATAATTTCTAAAAAGGGTTCGAACCTGCTCTACTTTTTCTTGCTTATTTGCAGTAGGAGACTTGTCCGAAATCTCAGAAGAAAATGCATTCTGAAAAATACGCAAGGAGTACGAGTAACCCAAATAACTTTGCAGTGGGGATACCCTTTTACAGAGTAAACAAGAAAACATGATTCTTACGTTCCACAAAAACTCCGTGTCCTTAAAATGGACTTAATACAATAAACGGTGGTATATCAGCTTACCGATTTTTGAGAAGCAAAAATCCTTGCTTCTCATCTGGCGTTCGACTAACATATTGTGATGCTCGAGTAAGCATTCATTGATGTCGTGGTGCAATTGCTCCCCGCCAGAATTGTAAGCATGGGGTTTATAGTGTTGCGGTGGCGGAATTGGCGGTGAAGAAGCAAAGCGGCAAGGGTTTAGGGGAAATGGTTGCGGCTAACGGGCGGCGGTTACTGGAGCCCTACACGGTCACATTATGAGGTTGATCGTAATTTCAACTACGGTCATTGAAGTTTGTAAAATGTTTTGAAATAGTAGCTTAAATTTTTAAAATTATATTATAGTCACTCGAACCTAAATTCCAACTTAAATGCCAATCTAAATACGAAGGCGTTAAACACGTTCAACAATTTTATTTCAATGTTTCCTCTTTTTTCTCTCGTGGGTTGACTATACCAAACAAGGGTTGAAGAGTCCGACTTAGATTGATCGTGAAAGTACTACATTGGGACTTATGATAAAGTTCAAAATATGTTTTAAAACCCGACTCGGACATCGAATCGAAAAGGAGAAAGGGTCAAAAAATTCAATCAACATCAAATCGGGGTTAAACCAGAGGTAATAAAAAAAAACATCTGTAAAATTTTAATTTTAGTTTGACGACAATATCTTCTACGTATTAAAAGTGGCTATGTAACGGAATTTCTTGTTTTTAACGGAAAAACTAACGGAATTTGTTGTTTTAACGGATTATGTAACGGAATTTCTTGTTTTAAATAGACATCTGCACCTTCTTTCAATATTTTTATCATAACTTTGTATTTCGATGTCTGATTGAGGCGATTCAAAATGTGTTGGAAAGCTAACTCATCTGGCTACAACTTTGATTCTGACATCATTCTCCAATTCGATCACTTGAGCATAATTTTTCGATTGGAAATTGATTTGTGATCATCTTTTGACTAAATCTGATTCAATTGACGTCTTCCTTTATCCAATTGACTCCGAGCACTCTCAAATCTTCATCGTGAGGTTCGGCACAACTTTTAAGTATTTACATTTTAGTCACCGAACTTTGTATCCCTTACAATTTAGCCATTTCTCCAAATTTGTCAACTTTTGCTTATTTTCTTCGATCTCATCAACTTACATCACAACATCAAAATCACACATCTAAAATCTCACCAACTTATATCACAACATGAAAATCACACATCTAATTATTTATCAATTACATAAACATTACATCATTAATTATTTAATTAACGAAAAAAATTACATCTTTATTAATAACAAATTAATTTTTAAACAAAACTATTAAATCTAAACTAGGCAAACGTGCATTTGTACGTTTGCTTGTACCTAGTATAATTAAATTTTCACACCACCAATTCAAAATATACGCAGATATGTCAAATATATATATATTTTAAATATAAAACTTACTAATTTTTAATTTATTGGATCACTTAAAACTCGTTCCAATTTACTAAATAATTTGTAAAATAAAAAATAAAAAAGTGTTTCGACAATTTGAGTATTTAATTTTGTAGTCATGCGCCATAAATAATATTAAATAATTTTGCATTATTAAGGTTTGTCAATCTCCTATTGGAAGTTTATTGAATAAGTTGTCAATTCCACGTTGGAAGTTTATAAATTGTGAGAATGATGAAAGAGTAATGTTATTCATCCTCAGTGTGGATTAAAACACAGTCTACATGTCATTAAGTGATAGACTAAATGAAATGTGAAATTAAATGACTTATTTAATTTCACCTATCATTTAATGCCACATTAGCGCCACATAGACTGTGTTTTCATCCCCAGTGGGGATGAATAGCATTACTCATGATGAAGGATTTGAAAAAACTTAGGATGCACTTTAGAAATTTTGGTCATTTGGGCATCGCTCAATCCATAATTTCTAAAAAGGGTTCGAACCTGCTCTACTTTTTCTTGCTTATTTGCAGTAGAAGACTTGTCCGAAATCTCAGAAGAAAATGCATTCTGAAAAATACGCAACGAGTACGAGTAACCCAAATAACTTTGCAGTGGGGATACCCTTTTACAGAGTAAACAAGAAAACATGATTCTTACGTTCCACAAAAACTCCGTGTCCTTAAAATGGACTTAATACTGTAAACGGTGGTATATCAGCTTACCGATTTTTGAGAAGCAAAAATCTTTGCTTCACATCTGGCGTTCGACTAACATATTGTGATGCTCGAGTAAGCATTCATTGATGTCGTGGCGCAATTGCTCCCCGCCGGAATTGTAAACATGGGGTTTACAGTGTTGCGGTGGCGGAATTGGCGGTGCGGAAGCGAAGCGGCAAGGGTATAGGGGAAATGGTTGAGGCTGACGGGCGGCCGTTACTGGAGCCCTACACGGTCACATTATAGAGGTTGATCGTAATTTCAACTACGGTCATTGAAGTTTGTAAAATGTTTTGAAATAGTAACTTAAATTTTTAAAATTATATTATAGTCACTCGACTAGCAACGTTAACCTAAATTCCAACTTAAATGCCAATCTAAATACGAAGGCGTTAAACACGTTCGACAATTTTATTTCAATTTTTTCTCTTTTTTCTCTCTAGTGGATTGAAGAGTCCGACTTAGATTGATCGTCAAAGTACTACATTGGGACTTGGGATAAAGTTCAAAATATGTTTTAAAACCCGACCTGGACATCGAATCGAAAAGGAGAGAGGGTCAAAAAATTCACTCAACGTCAAATCGGGGTCAAACCAGAAATAATAAAAAAAAATTGTAAAATTTTAATTATATTTTGACGACAGAATATAATTAAATTTTCACACCACCAATTCAAAATATATACAGATATGTCAGATATATATATATTTTAAATATAAAACTTACTAATTTTTAATTTATTGGATCACTTCAAACTCGTTCCAGTTTACTAAATAATTTGTAAAATTAAAAATAAAAAAGTGTTTCGACAATTTGAGTATTTAATTTTGAAGTCATGCACCATAAATAATATTAAATAATTTTGCATTATTGTTTGTCAATCTCCCATTGGAAGTTTGTACTTTATTGAAGTTTGTCAATTCCACGTTGGAAGTTTATCAATTGTATAAACGAGCTCTATAGGGTGAGAAAATGGGTAAATGAGTTGTCAATCTCCTAGATAACCTTTATATATAACAAAAAAAGTTTTGAAAACCGGCCAAATCGTGAAGACCGTCACCGGTTTCCAGTTGAATTGGCCGGTTTTTCGGTTAATTTACTGATTTTTTATTAAAAGATTAACAGGTTATAATCGGATCGAATTTTGATTCGGTTCTCAATTTTTTTCAATTGAACTGGCCAATTTGATTCGATTAGATTTTAATAACATTTATCGAACGAGTTCAAGATAAAAGGCGTACAGTACTCGTGAAAGCTTGAAGAACACGTGAGCAGTGCAGGCCCACAGAATTATTTAATGAAGGCCTACTGATTGGCCCAATTGAAAACACGATTTACTTGTAGGCCCAAAAACACAAAAACACACTAGGAAGTAGGAACAAATCTTAATAGAGTTGTTTCTCCTCAAATAATAGTGTTATTATTGTTTCTTATATTCTACTCTTCAATTTTCTCATGGCAATTTCATCGAAGAAATTTTCTAAAATGACATTTTACAACGTTCATAATGAAAGTAGCTTTGCTTTAGAAAATCTTGTTTCTACATAAAATATCTTAAATGTTATTAAATCGACCTCAATTTTTCCTTTATACTCTACATTAGGCCCTGTTTGAACCATATTATTTTTTTCATTCTCATTCTTCTACTCATTTTTAACCACACATTCTTCAATAAAATAATATTTTTCATCACATCAATAACTTTTATTTCTTTTTCAACCACATATTCCTCATCACATCAACAGTAAAAATGCATTCTTTTTCCAAAAATGTGCTACAAACAGGGGCTAAACGATTAAAGTAGGGATAGTGATGAGGGTTGCACAGAGTAGAGTAAGAGCTTGGACATGAACACGTCGGTGGAGAGGAAAATGAATAAAAAGGTAGTTTTATATATTTTTAAAAATAAACTAAAACTAATAAAATTGAGAAGTAATAGATAAGAGAATGCAGCAGGTGGCAACTAACTTAGCCTCTAAGGTGTGTTTGAGCCACATTATTAAAGAATGTTATTGAAAATAAGTAGAAAAATAAGAATGAAAATTTTAATGTGGTTTAAACATTGACATATGTTTGAAACCTTGTTTTTTATAATAGGTTTTTTTTTTTTATTTTAAGAATGTTGTGATCAAAGAGGAGAAAATTTTGAGTTTATTTGTTAAATTATTTTATTGAGATAATATATGGTCTAAAAAATTAGAGTTAAAAAAAGAGAATTATAAAAATTTATTGCTTAATTAAAATCGTTGAAATATACAAATGTCATTATTTGCGAAGTAGACAAAAGCATTAATGTCATTGTCCCAACATGACTCAATTATTTGTAGGTTTTTGATAGGGATGGAAATGAAGAAAAAGGTTGGACATGACAGCACAAACTCGAGTTTCTTTTGCATCCCGTGAACTTAATTTATACCATTCCTACCCCTTTTTCCAAGTAACTTATAATTTACTTGAACAACCAATTTATGGCATGATAATTAATTATTTGATATCAACATATATGTCATTTTAGCAATGAAACTATAACTTATTGTGAAGTTCATTTTGGACGAGATTTTCTTAAGCGTGCCAGATAAATATTTTTAGCGGGTAGCATATTTGATTGAGACGTATAATTTTATGAGTTGCGTTTAGCATAACAAAAATGTCTATGATTTTAAATTCTGTCAAGTTTTGTCGTTTAGATCTTTAGTTTATCTCCTTTTCAGTTTCTTAAAATAGTGTTCGTGGATGTAAAGTCGAGATGAACTAAATTTGTCGAACTTTTTCACAAATGTAAAGAAATTCTTTAATTTAATTTTAAGGATTTGAAAAGTATAACAGGGCAGAAAAAGGAATTTAAAAAATCTGAAACATTGATGTGGAAAATATCTTTTGATTTTATTTCTTATTGCAAATATATTTTGTTTTTTCAGTATAAACCCCTGTTTGACATAGATTTTTTAAAAATACATTCTTTTCAAAACTCCACATGTTTTTCAATAAAATAATATTTTCTATCATATCAATAACGTTTTCTTACTTTTTAACGACATATTTTCAATCATATCACTATTTAAAATACATTTTTTCTTAATAATATCTATCAAACACTCCCTAAGATTGTGATTATTTAATGCGTAATCTTCTCCTTATTATATTATTTATAATCACCAAGATTCCTTAATATTATTTTCGTTCCACAATGGTTCTTGAAGTTGAAAATATCAAGATTCTCTCTTGAATTTCGTGTGACACCACATTCGTTGTTGAATAAAAATGTTACTTGTACATCATTCTAGTTGACAAGATGTGATTGGTAAAAAAGTTTTTTGTATGTAATTGTCAAATTGTAAATTGACACATAACGGAGTGTACTCTGTGATGTACACCAAGAATGATTATTCAGTCTAGAGAAGCTACTGCTAGTGATATCGATATATAAAAAATGCGAAATGACGGATGAGACTAGTTATTCTATAAATCTAAGAGCCCGTTTGAACTCCATTATTTTGTTAAAATGCATTTTTGAATAGTAATCAATGAAGAATGAGTAGTTAAAAAATAAAGAAAAATATTGAATTTGCGCATAATATTATTTAATTGAAAAATGTATTGTTTAAAATAAGAAAGAGAAAAATATATTTTGAAAATAACGGGGATTAGACAATGGCTATATTAGGGCGGGACATGATCTGGTTCGGTTCTCTTCAGAACCGAACCGACCCAAAATTTTCGAGTATTTAATAAATGGAACCGTCTGGTCCAAATATAATTATGGAACCGTTCGAGTTCGGTTCCGTTCGATTCGATTTCGCACCATAATTAAATTTTTTAACATTTACAAAACACTACATAAATATAACTAATTACACGTTGATTCGTAACTATTACAAATTAACGTAACCCAATTTAAAAATATATAAATAACAAGCTGTCTAATAAGATTAATTCAATATATACAAATACCAAAAAGTAGAAAATTATTTAAATTTGCTAATTCGTTTAGAAAAAATTTAAAATTATTTAATTAATTTAATATAAAAATAAAAAAAATTTATTTAGATTCGATTCTTGGCCTAGAACCGATAACCGAACCAAATTCATCGATTTTCGATTTAAATACCCGTTTGGGTATTTAATTTATGAAGAACCGCTCGGTTCAATTCGGGACTTTTTTCCAGTCCTAGGCTATATTGTATATTTTGCCCATCCTTGTTCTTCGACCCTCGCATGTCAAATAAGTAGGTGAAGGACTGAAACTTTAAAAATAAGTTAAGTTAGTCCACATTAAACAGCAAGTCATCAACAAAAATCATCTAATTTTTTAATAATTCATAAAGGGACCCTCGTGCTTCAAACTTTATAAAATTATATTCTGTTTTTCACCTTGGCTAGTACCCAAAAATTGAAAGGTAGTTATGTTTCTACTAGGGGCCATTTGAAGATTTAATTTAGTAGTTGGATGCTTTCCATTGTTAGAGACTAAGCTCCCGTTTGAATCTCATTTTTAGCCAAAACTCATTTTGCAACAGGGAAACAATTGGACACGCAACCAACCTAATTATTTTGTGTCAGACTGCCCATGTAATAAAATATTACCACCGTCTCACTTTTTCTCTTTTTTGTCCTCATTTCAAATTGTGTACACGTTTGTTACAGGAACCAATTTGAAGGGCATTTGTGGAATGCAAGATAATTTATACTGCAAACGGGTCAAATTTGGCATTTTTTACCTGCTATTGTCAGATGAAATTATCAGGGAAATGTACATGGGGCCCACACAAAAGGCAAGTTACTATTCAAAAATGGGAATAAAACGGATGCCAAACGGGGGCTAAATACAAATTAAAGTAAAGGGTCAATTTGAACTTTCCTAAAGATTTAGGGGTCAATTTTCGACTCAACCAACTTACAGGGGACCAACGCAAATTTCGGAAACAAGTTGGGACCAAAGATGCAATTTTCCCAAAATTCACGGGCGAAGGAGGAAATGTAAATATCAACAAGGCACTGCGTGGACGGTGGACCGAAAGCTACCGCATCGAATGCAGAGGAAGAAAGTGGCAGACACAAACAAATACCCAAAATAAAAAAAATATCCATATAGTGAGAAATTGTTTATGGATAAGAGCGTCAGAGCGTCACAAAAGTCCTTGTTTAAGTCTCATTTTGAAGAAAATATATATTTTAAAATAGTAATTTTGAAATATATAGTTAAAAAAAAAAGAAGAAATTTTCGATTTACGTATATAATTATTTGTTCAAAAATGTTGAGTTAAAAATAAGTTTTTAAAAAATAAATTCTTGAAAAGATGGGATCAACCAGGCCCAAATTTGACTCTATTTTTATCCCAATTAAAATATTAAAATAATACCACTATAATTATTATATTATAATATATTTTAAAGTGTGTAATCAACTCCCGTCCACGTGTCCGTTTCTTTTTATCTCTCTTGTGTATTTGAAGAAGGGAAGAGAAGAAACCAGAAAGAGAAATTTCATTCAAAATTCTCTGCTCAGCAAGTTTCAACTCTTCTTTTACGTTTCTAGATAGTAAGATAAGAAATCATGAAAATTAGTTTCGATACACACTGACGAGTGTATGATTATCCGAAGAATTTATTTTTATAAGAAAAATTATTGATCAAAAAAGTGGTTGAGAGATGTACATAGGAGGCGGTGGAGCTCCAAAGCGGAATTCTTTCAAGGATTCTCTCAAAGTTCTTGAAGCCGATATTCAGCACGCAAATACTCTGTACGTAATTTTCTCTCTCTATCTAACCTATTTTTTCCTTTTCGTTCGAGTTTTAAGGGGGGTTTTATGATGAAAAAAGATTTACTTCTATCTTATAATTTTTCAGAAACAGTTATATTTCTTAATTATTAATTAATATTTTGTTTTGTGCTTTACTGAACTAGTGTTAATTAAATTAGTGAAAATAAACATAATTATTATTTTTTAGAAAATAATTTAAAAGTCTAGTAGTGAACTTCATTAGGAAGTTTCGCTAATGATGATAGTTTATAGAGTACTTTGTTGGTTACTTAAGTTTGGGATAAAGGTATCTTTTCTATATTCCACTGGGGGTTTGGCTTTTAACAATTTTTTTTATATCTTTTTGTGGTGCATTTTTTTTCCCTGCAAATTTGTTAACATTACATCTTAGTTGCATTTCCTCGTGGACAGTGAACAGGAAACAATATGAAAAGAGAAATTCACTAGTGTGTCAATATTCAAATGGTTGATGGCAATGATATTACCAAAAAAAAAGAAAGAAAGAAACTTTCTTTTGGAATAGATTATTATTATAGTTGTTAGAACTGTTGAGTATGTAATTTGAATTTCTAGCGGCTTCTGTATTGTTATATTTGATAATTATTAGTACATCATCAGCTTGCTATGAACTGAGTTAGTTGTTTGTATAATCATCTGGCTTGATAATTTTTCTTGAACATTCCCCGTGTTTGTAATTTGAATGTGTTATTGTCATAGCAGGGCATCGGATTTTCCAAGGGAGTATGATGGTGCATGCCTACAGATGAGAATCTCATACAGTCCAGCAGCACATTTTTTCCTCTTTCTAGTACAGTGGACTGACTGCCACCTTGCTGGAGCTCTTGGACTGTTGCGAGTCCTAATATACAAGGTTGATACTTGTTCTGTTGATGCTCGTTTTCCTGCATAAGTTTTGCTCCTATCATTGCAAGCAATTGAAAGTAAGCTTTGTTGCTCAGGTTTGCGTTGATGGCACCACAACTATGTCCATGCATGAGAGAAAAGCAAGCATTAGAGAATTCTATGGTAAGATCGGTGATCGTTGACTGATTTTACAGTCTCACCTACACTGACCTGTAAACTAGTATTTCTGACTGCATCTTATATTTTGATATATCTTGTGGTCAGCTGTTATTTATCCCTCTTTATTGCAACTTCAAAGAGGGGTCTCGGATTCAGAAGATAAAAAACAGAAAGCTGTGTGTCTGGAGAGATACAGAAGAAGAGATGAAGAAGAATACAGGCAATGCACGGAATTAGATATTGAAAGGGAAGAAGAATGTGGGATTTGCATGGAGAAGAACTGTAAGCTTGTCTTGCCAAACTGTAACCATGCCATGTGCCTGATGTGCTACCGAGAATGGTACTCTATCTCTGCCTTCTCTCTTTTTAATCTGTAATTAAAATAGACAGTCTACTTTTTTACTTTCCATGTATATAGATAGTAGATATTTAATTCATTATTGGTCTCTATGTATGTATTATATGATCTGGCTTAGTACACGTGAACAACAAGGAAACACGCGAGACTCTCCCTCTCTCTTGGTGCCAACGGATAAATTGTATCAGACTGCAGGGTGAACGTGAATAACTTCTTCTCTCATGCTCTTATACCTCATTGCCTGTTGTCTTTTCGTAGAACTCTCTATATCTTCTGTTCCCTTTTATTCATCCCTTACTGCTTAGAACTCCGGAAAAGTAAGAAAGGAACAAAACTAAATTTTCTAATTATTTCATGGATATCAGTTGCTTGTGTTTTCATTGGAAGATATGGCATTACTTAGTTAAGGAGTCCACCAGCCAAGATGTTCAGTAATTCATCCATCTTAGAGAACTATTGCCAAGGATGATGCAAGTACCATATTTTGACTGAATGGTCAAATTGAATGGTGCATGTTTTCTAGATATTGGACTTCATAATATGGTTTGTGCAGACTTTCTCCTTAAGTGTATCGCATCAGTAAAGTTACATTTCTCTAAACCCAAATAAGTCCTGGATACTATATCACATGGATATGCCAGAACAAGATTTTTTAAAAAGGTAGAACATGGACACATTGAGGACGTGTCTACTTAATTAACGGAAAATGCTATATGTACATAGCATTTTCCGTAATGGTGTCCATAATGGACACATGGAGGCTCCCTATTGGGGAGGTGCTTGGGGGCCCAGGCACCACTCCAATAGGGGGTCTCCATGTGTCCATTATGGACACCCTTATGTATTGTGCTATGTACCCATAGTACAACCCTTAATTAACTGCCATACCATCAAATTTGCTTTTTATCTTCTCCTGTAATTGCACTTCCCTTTGTCGCCAAGTGAGATTTACACCTAGGGCTGGAGGAACAAGTGAATATATAGATGCTTCCTGGAATCTTCTCATTATTATGTTAGTCCCCCAGTCTCAAGTTGGATTTCTAAGAATACAGCTAATTTTTTACCAATGTAGGTAAAATTTCAATTTTCAATGTGGACACCACATGCTACTTCCCCTGTTTGCCTCCCCCCAACCTGTGTTGTTGGGAGTTTCTTTCAATTTGTATGTAACTGTTGTTTTTGAGGGGATGAGGTTTTGAATAAAAAGAGAGCAATTGAAGGTTGATATACTTGTCAACAGAAAATGTGAAAATGCAGGATAGTGTTGAATTCATCTTCTATTGCTTCACATGGCACCCTGAACATATGTCGCACATGATTGGCAAGTGTTTATAAACAAGTAAAATGAGTGGTGGAATAAGTGGGTAGTAGTTACGCGTCTCATGAAATATGTTAAATAAAAAGTGGTTTAACGTTTAACACGTGTTTATAAACACTTGCCAAACATTAAATGGTGCACTTGCTTTTGTATGCGCCTTCCTGCATGTGAAATTGAGACCATAACACTGCATACCATTTTAGCCTTTATTATTTTGGTGCTTACCTTGATTCATTGCATTCTCATAGTGTTTCTTTGAAAGCTATTGAGTGCCATTGTTATATGTCCTTCCCCGTTTGTCTCCTCATTTTTATATGAGCATGTTTGGCTAGAGCTTAAAAGAGTTTCCTTTTAAGTAATTAAGTACGTTTTAAAAATAAACAATTTTCATTGGTCAAAATTTAAAATACCTTGTTACATTGAATGTAGTATAAAAGTTATTTAACAATTAATTTAACTTGAAAGTAAGGAAGACGGTACTTATCCAAAATCATTAATTGAAATAAATATTCACTTTAAGATTAGCCAAACATGCTCCACATAGCTGGTGAAGCTTTTCTGTTCTGATCTCCCTGCTAGGTGGGATGAGGCAAGTTTTTGCCCAAGGTCATATGGTCCTTTTCTTCGCCCACATGTAGGGATGCTCACACCGCAGCAGGAGATACGAACCTTTATACTTGGCATTATTTAATGTACCATTGCGTATTTATTTGCCTGGTATGATTTCAAGTGAATAATAGCACGATTGATCTGTTTGGCGCAGGCGTACGAGATCACAATCTTGTCCATTTTGCCGGGATAGCTTGAAGAGGGTGAACTCTGGTGATCTATGGGTATTTATGGACGGCAGGGATGTGATAGATATGGCAACTATCACAAGGGAAAATCTGAGGAGGCTGTTCATGTATATAGAGAAATTGCCCCTCGTTGTTCCCGATACCCTTTTTGATACTTACGATACCCATCTGAGGTAGTTTACTGGTATCATCTAGGTAATGTTCTTTGAGTGGCGATTATTTAACGCTCTGGATTGCATGTGGAAGCAAGAAATAATATGTGGAAACCTAGATTTAGATACGCTAATGTTGTTATTTGGCTTGTGATGAGAAACCGCCTGGCTTTGTTGTGGGCAAGGGTTTTGAAGCTATTTTATGGAAAATGAAAAAAAAAAAATAAATTAAAATCTATGTAGAAAATTAGTACATCAATGTATAGTCTCTGTGCGTGTTATATTTTTGCCGACCTCAGATGAAACAGAGCTCCTGCTTCATATAGAGCATTTTATTTTTAAGGTGCATTTAATCGTTCGACTTTCGAGCATAATCAATATCTATTCGAATTTGAGAACTCTCTTTATTTGCAAGAGTACATACTCATGGCGACTAAGTTGAATTAGTAGAAGTTTATTTTTTCAAATTTCATTTTCAATCATGCGTCGTTGCGTCCTTCCATAAAATAATTTTTACATGTAAATTTTTTAAAAAATTATTTTTTAACAATATATTTTCAAATAAAAATATTATTTCAAAATACATTTTTGCTCAAAAGAGGCTCAAACGGTGTAGTTAAAAATAAATCTGATTATTTATAAACAATTCACCCTCAAATGAAAGCTGCGGACCCTTCTCTTGTACAAATGACGCGCATTAATTGCTTCCATTTTTGACTTGGGACTAAAAAGAACTTTGCTTCGTGTATACAAGCCAAGCCAAAGAACACCAATACAACACACACAGTGGGGCCCGCAATCTTAAAAAAAAATACAAGGTTGAGCCCGGCGTTGTGAGTATTCTGGTGCAAAACCATTTTTGTACAAGGATCATGCTACTCTTACAGACAAATGGTTTACAGATGTCTTACAGATACTCACAAAGATTTTTAATAATATAAAATTAAGTCTTTAAAAATACTATTTTACCCTTCTTNGCTAGTGATCATTATGAATGTCTGCGTCATGGTATTTGAAATCCAATCATGCTAGTCACACCAATTCATTTTAAAAATCGTTTTAAATCAACTTCGCGAAATCTTGATAACTCACTAATTGTCAAACCAAATTGTACAATTAGATTAATTTATTTGGTATCGTTCAAGTGCGATGCTGTCTTAACGGCTCACAATTTTTTGTTCTTGTTATCATTCGTAAATCTATGACAATTTGTCATTGGTTTTTTTTTTTTTTTATTTTTTTTTTTTGCTTTTTTTTTCTCTCTCTTCTTCTTTAAATTATTTATTGGAATTAAAATGTCAATGTCAAGTAATCTTTTCAAGTTTTATTAAGTTGCTAAAATAATTTGTTTCTTTCTATTCCTCACAATTAATGTATCCTGGCAAATTGAATATCTGTTACTTTTCCTTTCCTACAATTAATTAAAGTCATAGCCCTATCCATTTATTCATTCGAATCAACTTTTTTTTATTGAATTCCTCGAATGTGATATTTCTTATGGAATTTAAACCAAACGGACCATAATATCTTTGAATAAGAACTTGACTTCTTCCAATTATTTTTTACCTTGTTTGATCCCTTTTTTTTTTCAAATTGCCCGATTTTGTTAAGTGATATGTTGTTGTCATAGGANGTTTGATCCCTTTTTTTTTTTCAAATTGCCCGATTTTGTTAAGTGATATGTTGTTGTCATAGGAAATATCAAACTTTATTACATCCATACCATCTTGAAGTTTAAAAAAGAGTGAAATTTTGAGATAAACCCATTCAATAATCATAATGATTATTTATATAAGCCGTCAACGGTGGAGGCTTGTGCCCGGACCCCACGTGTGCAGGTAACAGCCTGGTGGGTTTATCACCTGACCGACCATTTTTCCCTTATTGGTTTAGCTGCTGAAATTGAAAATGCTTCTCTTTATCACTTTCTAGTCAATGATAATGATAATTACAGACTTACAGTAAATGGAGAAACAAATAATAGAAAAGGTTGACAAAAGTTCACAGCCGCCTTTTTCAATAAAAAAGAATGAAACCCATACAACGATATGATTTATATTGGAAAAATGCTATGAGTACATGAAGATTCAACAGGTTTTTTGCACAGGAAGACCCGTTGAATTTTCATTTACGTGCAGACTTATTCTTTATATTGTATAGTAGTATTGATCTATAAGAAAATGTGATAAATGCTTTAGCAGATTCAAGAATCGAGATGAGTACGGACGGTCGACCGTAAAGGTGAGTACGGGCACCTGCACAACTGCGGCTCGTATAGACGAACATGAAATATATATATTAGTTTGTTTCTAAAACTCGTCATAATTAGTGATCGTTGATGAAAATACTTCGAATATAGACAGTGAGTGTCATATCTATTTTGTCATTAAATCAAGACTTTTGACGACATAAGCCGTCTTCCTGTGCAAAAACATGTTGAATTTCCTTGTACGTGCAGACTTATTCTTTATATTGTATGGCAGTATTGAGCTACAAGAAAATGTGATAAATAGTAAATACATTGGCAGATTCAAGAATTAAGATGAGTACGGACGATCGTTCAACGGTCGTAAAGGTGAGTACGGGCGCCCGTACGTATAGACGAAAATGAAATATACATATTAGTTTGTTTCTAAAACTCATCATAATGAGTGACCGTCTATGAAAATACTTTGAATATAGGTAGTGTGTGTCATATCTATTCGAGATTGATTTGATATTCCGAATAAATAAGAAGGCATGATAACAAAAACTTGAATTAACTAACCAGGGAACAAAACTTTAGTTATAATGATATACAAAAAGGATCAAATTATACAGTTTTTTTCCCTTTTTATGTATAAATCATTTCTAACGAGAACATTTTGTTACACGATAAATCATCATATATATTAATTATACTTTAATAGTGGAAGATGCCAAAAATATCCCATATTCGTATCTAGCACCAAATTAATTATAATTATGATACTTTGCGTAAAAATTGCCATCAAGCATATGATTAGTTATAAGTTATTGTTTGGTAGAGATCAAAATCAAATTTTTAGTATATATTGATAAAAGTTAATAAAATGTATAATTAAAAAATTGTGAGTTCCATAAAATGTGTAGTTAAAATTACTCGCAAGTGGGCCAACCCATTTACAGCTGCATAAGTCGCCGCCGCCGATTCAACGGCTCATATTTCCTCATAGACGCGTCCCCCTCCCTTCGCCACCTATATATGCGTAACCCCCACATCCCATGCATCCCCATACAAAAGTAGGCACACTGGATATATACTGTAGTTCTTTCACCTGGACATATTAGAATTTTCCGACGATTCGACCGAAAGGATTAATGAAATCAAATAGGTCGTGGTTTCTTTCGCTGAAATTGTTTTTGATTTCAGCAGGAGTTGTATCTTTAGCCGTGTGGGTAAAAAATTTCTTACCGTTAATTATACACTTTGCCGTTCATGAAATTCCGGCGCTGTGGTCCATTTTGCTGAAGCCTCCGTATCTATATGTCATAGTCAATGCAATTATCATCACCATCGCTGCTGCTTCGCGCTTCCACCTCAGTGAATCTGAGCAGTCAGTTCTGTCTGAGAAGTTAATTTCAGTGAAAACGCCTCCGTCGTCGGAATTTGCATCAATACCAACTCCGATTGAGATTAGCGCTGTTGTGGAGGAACCTCCGGCAGTGGTGGAAGTGGCTGTGCCGCGTGAGAGTGAAGATGGAGTTGTTGAGGTGAAGCCTGTGGTGGTGAACGATTCACAAGTAAAAAACTTTGCAGAAGCTGAGGATAAGGACGAGTTTATCGTCTCCTATACGACGTGCACTCCACCCAAGGAAGTAATTCCTCCGCCGTTCCTCTTCCCCGTAAGGGAGAAACCTCTGGCTTCTTCTAGATTCGACATTCACCGGAAAAATTTCAAATCCAGTCCCAAAGGTACGCCAAATTAAAATGGTTTTAAGCTCCACCATTATTTCAAAAAATTATTTGTTACAGTAAGAATCTCCATCACACATTTACCTAATAAAATATTTTACACACAAATAAATAAAATTACTTTAAATTTTAACCACACATTTTTAAAAAAAATAATATTCATTACTCTATTTTTCTCAAATAATGGGAGACAAACACACCCTAAATATATTGAGCCATATTGAGCTCCATTTTTATTTATTTTTTAAAAAATATATTTTGAAATAGTTATTTGACGGAGAATTTTAAAAAAAATAACGAAATATTTTAAGTTTACTTGTGATATTATTTTATTGAAAAATATATGATTGAAAATAAGAAAAAAATGAATTTTGAAAATAATGGGAACCAAACAAGGACATAATTTGAATTAGGATAAATTTGAAAATTGCACTAGGGGCGTGGTCGGTAGAGGCTGGAAATTGAAAAATTAGCCGTTATTGTTGATTTTTATTATACGAGTGAGATTCAATAAATGCTCTATTTTCAATTTTAATTGAATTTTAATCAATCCCAAACATGCTCTAGATCTTTTTGGAGTTATGCCACTTTGACAGAAAAACGTTGACAAATATTTTGACATAATAAGTGTTGGCAATATATTTTTAGATCATTTTGTAGTAATTAGTTTATCACACAATTTATAAGATACACGACTTTATCAACTCTACAATCATACGTTTCATCAAATTTTTTTAAAACTTAAAAATTTGATTTTTAGCTAATTGAACATGAGCTGAATATAAGTAGGTGGACATATGATTTTTTTTCAGGGGCGAAAACATTAAGGATGACGGGGCAGGAAGAGACACTAGAGAGCGTATGGAAGATGATAACGGAACGACATCGAGTTCCACTTACGAGACATTCGAAGAAGCCGGGCATGTGGGAAGATCGGGAGCATTATGTGATTGGGATTGGGAGCCCTTCCGTTTATGTAAACAAATATGAGACCCACAAGAATCATGCATCACCCCAAGCTCCATTGAATTCGTATCCAAGTTTGAAGGTTCGAAAAGAATTGTCGGTGGGTCACGAGGAGTTGAATCGCCGAGTTGAGGCGTTTATCAAAAACTTCAACGAGGAAATGAGGATGCAGAGACAAGAGTCGTTGAAGCAATATATGGAGATGATTAATCATGATGATTAAGTTTATTGATTGAGTTTGAATTTAATAACGTGAATAGGTAACTGAAAAGATATCAAACGGTCCAAAAGAGAAGGAATATAGATATCTAAATTAGGATAACAGCTTGAATTTTGGTCAATTCGTTGGGTGGGTTTGGAGTTACGTTGGATTTTTTCTCTCTCGAAAAATTACATAAAATAGTGTGTAAAATAGAATATTTCGAGCACTTTCAAAGTATTGAACTTAGGGAGCATTTGATTATGAGAATGCAAATTTTTTTTTATAACCGTGAATGTCCGGACCAACTTACGCGCATATCGACTAATTCCACGAGAACCTGAAATTTACGGTCGGGTACTCACCTCAATGGCCTGAATGAATTTGAACGGTGACCATCGGGGAGCAAACTCAAAACCTGACAAATTGAACAATCCTTCAAGATTAATTGCGAGCATGAAATTTGCGTAAAAAGAAAATGAAAAAAAAAACAATTTTTAGGTCATTCAATTGTCTAAAACTTATTGCAATGGGTAAATATATTTCCACCACAATTTTTATTAACTACGCCACATTTTAATTATAATGAACATACCTAAACTTTTCCTCTGTTTTATATTTATGTTCTCAACTTTTTTTATTTTTATTTTTTATCATCGACACTTTATTAATTTTCACAACTTACCTATAGAGATTATTTTCATCCAAAATATTTGTTATGAGGTCAAAAATATATATATTTATCTCTCGTATTTTTAATAATTTAAATAAATAACTAATATAAAACTTAAACAAAATATTTGTTCATCTTTTCAATGCATGTTAGTAGAATATTTGTATAAAAATCGTGATTAGAGATAAATACATATTAATTAATTTAAGGTTAAGAATGATAATACAACGAGAAAAATTTGAGGACATAAATACAAAAGAAAGCAACTATTGAAAACCTTTCTTGTAATTAAAATGTGGTACACTGTACATATATAAAAAATTGTTGTGTGAATATAATTACTCATATGCAATTTATTAATTATATGCATTCGATTGATTTAGTTTTCAATCCAAAAAATATCATACTTATCTATTTTTTATTGATGGGTATATAAGAAATGGAGGATAAATGAGAGAAAGTGTGTGTGAACTACCGTAAAATAAAAATCACAAACCAAATAAATTTGTACGTCATTTTCAATTCCATTAGTGCCAACTCCATTCTAATTAAAATTTATTTGACTCAAAATAAAGTTGATTTCTACTTTATCAACACTCCATTTGATTGATTTACCAAATTAGACTGAATTGTTTCAAAAATTATTGAACTTATACTATGGTCACGGACTGTTTACCGAACTTCATTCCGCTTCACGGTACTCGCTCAACTTTGCCATTTACCTCTCTATCTACCACCGTCAAAAAATCTGTTTGTTGGACGCTGATGAGGAGGACGGAATTCCTAGGTGGCGTCTGACGTCCGTTAAAAAACTACAAATCAGCAAAAACATTGTTTCATCACTCATCCAAGTTCCAACTTACTCTAGGTCACAGTTTATTCATCGAACTTCAAAAAGCTTCACAATGGTCACTCATCTTTGAGATATTGCACTCCATTCATTATCCGTCATATTTCATTCATTTCGTTGCTAATGTTCGCATAGAAAATCCACGTAATAAATTACAAATGTTAGAAAAATCACAATTCAATGGAACTATCAATTTACTAAAATCACCACGTGTGAAACATGACTTCCACGACCTCATAAACTTTTTTAAAATCCAATAAAACGTCCACAGTTATTCTTTAGAAATATCACTTTTATAATTCGAACGTTTATTGTGTGAAAAATAGGTTTTAATCTAAAGCTGAAAATCGAAAACTTAACTTGATTTGTGAAAATATTTTGTCTGTATTTCACCGATTTAACTTCTAATTGTATTCAATTGATCATATGGTGATTTCCATGTGTTGATGGTTTGGTTGAGTTATAATTTTTTTGATGATTTTAATTATCCGTGAAATTTTTGAACAATAAATTAGCAACGAAGTGAATAAAATATGACGAATAATGGATGGAATGCAATTCTTAAAGATGAGCAACCATTGAGATGCATTTTGAAATTCGATGAGTAAACTGTGACATAGTGTAATTTGGACGAGTGATGAAACAATAATTTTGCTGATTTGTAATTTTTTTAATGGCCGTCGGACGCCACATAAGAATTCTGTCCGCCACGTCAGTGCCCAACAAACGGATTTTTTGACAGTGGTGGATAGACAGGTAAATTGTAAAGTTGAGTGAGTACTGTGAAACAGAATGAAGTTCGGTGAGCAGTCCGAGACGATAGTATAAATTCAGTGATTTTTGAAACAATTCACTCACCAAATTAAGAGCAAATTTGTTAATAGGAGGAATAATCTCTTTTTTCAAATTATTAAAAAAAAAAAAGGGATGATAATTACAATGGGCAACAAATTGTAGTGCCACAAGGCTACAAGGAGGTTCAATTACTCAATTTTGACAATCAAACGCACCAAGTCAAATCTAATGCGCTTGCATGATCTTGATGATGAGTATGTGCAGCTGGAGACACCATCGACGCCGTTAAATTCTCTACACGTTACAAATTTTCCCACGAATTTGCCATCAGAATAGAAATTAGAAGTTGGAAACTGCGAAGATGGTTCCATAAGCTCTCTTGGAAACCTCATTGGCTCTTTCTTCTTTCGGCGCTCTTTCAATTTTCGCGCTTTGCGTATCCATTTCTTTTTTTGAGACAAAATAATTACAAAAACAAGTTGTTATAGAAGAATCAGATTAGATCTCGAGAGCAATTTTTGTGGAGCTCCGAGAAAATGCAGACGAGGTATATGGAAATACCAAATAGTACGGCGAGACCAATTTTTAAATCTTAGGCATGCTGCGCACAGTGTGCCTCCGTGCACGAGAACGGAGGCACGTCGTGCCTCCGTCCGCGTGCACAGAGGCACCGCCGTGCCTTCGTGCTGGTGCCGCACCACCGTGCCTCCGTGCACACGGACGCAGGAATTTTGATTCTTTTTTCATTGTTTTGGATTGTTAAGGGACATGTTCTTAATTTCAATTTCAAATTAAATAGAAATATGCGACACCAGCATGAGCATTTATCAATTCATACTCTGTACACTCATTTTCTTAATTCATTTGTATACCATTTTACATACTGACCACATGACATTTATTTACCATTAAAAAATATGAAATAACTTCCTTCAACTCTAAGAAAAAAATTCCTCATTAGATTTGTTTTCCCCTTAATCAACTAAGTTAATAAATAGTACAATCAATTAACACCCGCTAATTATATCCAAATCTTTGAAATAAAATCGAATTGAGAAAGAAATAAATTAAAAGCAACTAAATTAACATTAAACCATGAACTAATCCCAATATATGCTCTGCAAACATAAATTAAACATAGTGTCTTGCTTTGAGTTACCTAGCAGTTCACTAACTACATTTAACAGATTACAGCAAAATATGCTCTGCAAACATAAAAGACAAGTGGCAGTATTATTTGAAATAGATCATAGTCAATTGTTTGCAACATTTGATATCCCGATGGCAATTGTTTGCAACATTTGATATGCTCTGGAAGAAGAAGCATATTTGCAACATTTGATATCCTGATGGTAATTGTTTCACTTTTAGTCAATTTATTCCTATATTCCTGCAACCAGAACAAAAAAAAAGTGTTTAACCCCGGTATTACCTTGTTTACCTCTTGATATCTAACAAAAGATTTCATCAATCTAATGAGCAAAGAAAATCAAATTATTATTGCAAAGTATAAAGCCTTTTGACATTTTAGTATTTTAGTACCTGCCTTTCTTGTCCTGTAGAATCTACCAAATAAAATCGAACAATAAAAGGAAAACACAAAGACGAAATTAGCATACGAAGATATAATTTAATTTATCACCCATCTTTGCAGCTTTATCAAGATTTTAAACATATTATCCATGATGTATGATTGATCATATTGGTCCATTAATCAAAAAATTTGATTTTTTTTTCTCAGCTGAAGATATGGTCTTCTAGAAGTATACAAAAGTAAGAAAAACGATTAGAAAATTGTTAGAATTATTTGAATAACTCACAAACAAATTCAACAAGAAAGGCACAACATTTCTTTTATTATAAGGATGTTCTTATGTAGTGATGATACCATTGCATTTGGAGTTATGTTCTAAGTTTTACTGAACCACCATAAACTTGTTTCATTAAGCACCTATATGCAGT